GTAGCGCCTGACAACAATCATTATGTACAAGAGTTGTTTTTGAGGGGTTGTAGGTGCGATTGGATCGTCTACATGAGAGTAGAGCTAGGCCTCGTTATGCTGCCCTTTATTCTTCGATACTTTTAGAGGTCTCGTTGTCCTTGGCAGTTGAAATTCCTGTTCATGCTGCTTTGTGTATGCGCCTTCCTCCGATGACCTTTTTGTTTCTCTTCGTTTAGGAATTGATGAAGTACCTTGGCATACATTCTCCGCGTTCCTAACTTGAATAATATATGATGTGTTGAATTTTATACCGCTTGCTATCGTCTAATGTCGATGCCATGTTGTAAGAGCCCGTTTGTTTTTAGGTCATTTCGATCCGTAGACCCGATGGATTCTTTTTGAGTGGCAGTAGAAGAACGCATTCAAAAGGGTTTCATCTTTCGCTTTCATCCTCAAGTGGAAATGCTGCCTCATTTATTTCTTTGTATTATTTCGTTTTTTCCAATAGGTGAGCCTAATTATATATGTTACTAGTCTTCAATGAATATTGAGTGTAATTTTGATTTGTCATCAGGTATACTTGAATTATTTTTCGCATCTTTCAGTATATCCTTTGAATAATTTCGTCGATAATTATGAAACCTTGAATTATCGTGTTGTGAACACAGTCCGGAAAAAACGTTCGTCGGGTTACGGAGAGCCTTTGAACCTTAAATTTTTCGCATATAATAGGTTCGTTTGTTTTTTCTGTTGTTGTTCTTCTAATGGTTCACAATAGGAGTTTTTTCCACCAATTTTTCTTTTTGTGGTGTAGCGTTATGAGCAGATACGAATTACTGCGCAATACAGTAAGTCAAAGTGGGCTTGTGAAGCTACGAATATATGACCACTACGAAGTAGTTATTCATTACAACAAAACAATGCTGTCAAGTATTGTTCATACATTCCATTTTCAACCATAATAGCATATGACTCCTGATTTTAGGACATTCCATTTAATTCTATTGCCACTCGATCCATTGAATGATCATTTTCATCCGGATCACATATTAGATGAAGATGGTCGATATGAGGACATAGAGCCTCATAAATTTCTTTATGAAGGATTCGTCAAAGGTTAGTTTTTTGAGATCTTTTTGTTTTTTTTTCATTTTAACATGAGCATTTGGAAAATTTGCTTGGATATCCATTATTTAGTTTTGTTACTTCATAGTCTAAATCTTTATTTTCGAAACGCATTTATGCATTTTCTAGTCATCCAGAATATTGAGATGTGGCTAGAATTGATACATATTTGCTTTGACTGAACACGAAAATCACTCTAACTAAAAATTTCATGCAAACTAGAACTCTGTTAGACCGTTTTGCGTCATAGTTGAATAGTACTTTTTTTCAAGATGACCCGGGATCCAAAGTGTATGGGTCGATTCTTGATGGTGTGTTCGAAGGTCACATCCGAACAGGAGATGGTAATTCATACAGTGTGGATAGGGCAGCGAAGTACTTCGACTACGATAGTCGACCTTCTCATTATCATTCGATTTTATATCGTGACGATGACATTAACCACAGCAAGATGCGTGTGAAAAGGTTCGGATCCGACTTGAAAGACGCCGCAGTGTCGTTTCTTTTCTTGGTACCTCATATCGGAAAGTACAAGCTCGCCTTTCCAGGTCGGCGTCTTCTGCAGATCCGAGCGACGTCGGTTTGCATTCATGTGGATTGGATGATCGTGTGAAGCGTGATATGGAACGGATACAACGTTCAGCCGAAGTTCCTCCAGATGTGTACACAAATTACGTGACAATGTATGTTCAGAGTTATTTCTTGGGCTTTTCTGCACTGTCCGATAAAACCTATCTTGTAAATAAAATTCTCGTGACAGCTTGATTAGAGGCTTTACTCTTTTTTCTGATACCTCTTTCTCTCCTTCCCTTCACTTATTCATTGTCTACAGAAGCTGAATTTTCTTTCGAAAAGCAATCGCCTTTCTCGTAAAATGAAATATTCTCCGGTATAGCATTTGTAGTGATTCATTAGGAAATGTTCTTTGGCATTTGGTTGCACTAGTTCTAACGTAGTCCTCAGTTTTTCTCGTGACCAACGGGTGCTATTAATATACACGTTTTCTGGTTCTCGATGTGACCTTTTAGAGTGATTTATGTCGCTATTGATTGGTCATTGCATAAAAAAGTCAGCGAAGCTTTGACGTTGTTTTATCTTCAGGCATGGCCGATCAAAACGTGCAACTAGGGACAGTAATGGATTGTACACAGTGAGGACATGTTCTCTGTATCTTCAAGCCGATCATAAACTTTACGAGCACATCAAAAGAAAGGAGGGAAACAATGATCCGATAAGGTGCGTGTTTGAAAGTGAATGTCATGTTGGTGTTTTTATTCTATCATTTTTGTGAATTACTCAGCTCTATCCAATTACTGGGTTTAAATGAACTTCATAGTTTTTTTTTTATTTCGTGCTCTGAGGTTTTACACAATCCACGTCGCTCTAAATACACTTATTCGGAATTTATAGAAAGCTTCCTGAAATCAATTTTAATGGGAGTAAAGTTTAGTGAGAGTTCTAGAAACCTCTTACTATTTTTTTACTTCGAAATTCTACTGATTTTCAAAATACTTAGAACATTACGTATTTGGACGGTGATCGTGTTTTCTGAAAGTAGGGCAAGTAAGGTGTTAGTCACGGATTGTATAGGCCGCTCTTTGTGGCTATTGTGAGCGAGGTTAAAGAGGTTTACAGAGGTTTACATTTTAATAGTTTTTTCATGTGTTGACGTTTGAATCGGGTCTTCTACAGTATAACTCCTTTAGTACGAAGTATACAGTTCAGGGAGAGGGGTACTTCAGGAAGAATACAACTGGTTTGAGACGTGAATGGGTTAGTCTAGATTAGCATATTGATTCAAAGTACTGTGGGAGATGACTATCACGAAAATGATGGCCATTCTGCTTCGTGTGGAAGACTGAATTAAGGAATCGGGGACTTGGTGATTAGCGAGGGAAATAAGGGCAGAGAGTGCAGAAACAGCGAGAAAGGAAATCTTTCCCTTCGCGGTCGTATACTTAATCTCCACGGTGCAATGACCTCGTTTTGCAACGCTAAAATGTGCTTCACGCCATCGCAGTTTTAGGGATTACACACATTAGATCACTAAAGGCAAACTGATTGCTCGGTCAAATTTACCTTACCCAAAATGTTTACCGTGAGGTGATGGTGCATTTTATGAGTAGAAAAAGCACTATGTTTATTTAAGTAGGGACACACGAAAGCTTATTTGTTCAGCATCTTTTTCTCGGATTATCGTTAAGCTTAAACAAAGTTTTCTTTGAACTGATGAGAAACTAGAATGACACTTTGTTGTTCGTGCTGTTGTCTTAGAAGTCGTCTTTTTACTCACCTGTGGACATAGGGGGCCGTTTTTGTCAAAATAATGATAACCAATTGGAAATTTCATGGAAATCACTAAAAAAAACAATGCTTTTCAGAACTCGCGAAGAGATCGTTAGCCTATTCTATAACCACATCAAAGCTGTGAACGAGATCTACGAAGGAACGAATTTTAACGGCATCAAAGGACTTCATTTTGTGATCCAAAGAACTTCGGTTAGTTCTGGCTACTTTGCTTTACTCATTCATCTAGACCTTACAAGCGATTTATCTTCGTTCTTTAGAAGTTGGGGCTATCATCAAAAATGTTCATCTTGCAGATCTATACACCAGAGACCTGTGATCGTGGCCGTCCCGTGCCGGGTAGCGACAACCCGTTCTGTGAAGAGAATGTGGACGTGTCTAATTTCCTCAATCTGAATTCTCAGCGAAACCATTCAGCCTTTTGCCTTGCCTATGCACTTACTTTTCGAGATTTCGTTGGTGGAACCCTAGGATTGGCATGGGTTGCAAGTCCACAATACAGTAAGTTCACCGTTATCTATGTTGACCTTAGACAGCATAGTCCAGCTGCGGATTTGAGGTATTCGCGTCGTGTCTAGTGAGCTTTACGATAGCCCATCTGTTTTTCAGATACGGCGGGTGGCATCTGCCAAATTTATCAGCGTTACAACGAGGGCTCGAGAGGCTGGGTGTTTCGTTCATTGAATACAGGGATTGTGACGTTGGTCAACTACGGGAATCGTGTACCTACAAGAGTCTCTCAGTTGACGCTTGCTCATGAAATCGGACACAATTTTGGCTCACCCCATGATTTTCCTATAGGTTTGAAGTTTTATTCGTATTCTTGTCCATGTTTCCATCGGGCACTGATGGGTGTTGTAGAGTGTCAACCGGGTCTGCCTGACGGAAATTTCATCATGTTTGCGTCTGCAACATCTGGAGACAAGGTGAACAATGCGAAGTTCTCGCCATGTTCCGTGGCCAA